CTAGAGCGAAAAAACGCCTTTCTAGGCTATAAAAACAAAAAGTTCAACAGGTCGAAAAATTGAGATTTTTCCAAAGGGGTTAACCCGTGGTTTTGGTCAAAAAATGGCCATTTTTCCAATTTTTTTTTTTAGGCAATATATTCCAGGAAAACGTGTTTTACGAGATTCTAGAACGAAAAAACGCCTTTCTAGACTATAAAATCAACACGTTTAAAACGTCGAAAAATTGAGATTTTTCTAAAGGGGTTAACCCACGGTTTTGGTCCCAAAATGGCCTTTTTTCCAACTTTTTTTTTTTAGGCAATATAGGAAATGTGTTCTACGATGTTCTAGAACGAAAGAACGCCTTTCTAGGCTATAAAAACAACAAATTTAAAAAGTCGAAAAATTGAGATTTTTCTAAAGGGGTTAACCCATGCTTTTGGTCCAAAAATGGCCATTTTTCCCACTTTTTTTTTTTAAGCAATATATACCAGGAAAATGTGATTTACGATATTCTAGAACGAAAAAACGCCTTTCTAGACTATAAAATCAACACGTTTAAAACGTCGAAAAATTGAGATTTTTCTAAAGGGGTTAACCCACGGTTTTGGTCCCAAAATGGCCTTTTTTCCAACTTTTTTTTTTTAGGCAATATAGGAAATGTGTTCTACGATGTTCTAGAACGAAAGAACGCCTTTCTAGGCTATAAAAACAACAAATTTAAAAAGTCGAAAAATTGAGATTTTTCAAAAGGGGTTAACCCATGCTTTTGGTCCAAAAATGGCCATTTTTCCCACTTTTTTTTTAAGCAATATATACCAGGAAAATGTGATTTACGATATTCTAGAACGAAAAAACGCCTTTCTAGACTATAAAATCAACACGTTTAAAACGTCGAAAAATTGAGATTTTTCTAAAGGGGTTAACCCACGGTTTTGGTCCCAAAATGGCCTTTTTTCCAACTTTTTTTTTTTAGGCAATATAGGAAATGTGTTCTACGATGTTCTAGAACGAAAGAACGCCTTTCTAGGCTATAAAAACAACAAATTTAAAAAGTCGAAAAATTGAGATTTTTCAAAAGGGGTTAACCCATGCTTTTGGTCCAAAAATGGCCATTTTTCCCACTTTTTTTTTAAGCAATATATACCAGGAAAATGTGATTTACGATATTCTAGAACGAAAAAACGCCTTTCTAGACTATAAAATCAACAAGTTTAAAAAGTCGAAACATTGAGATTTTTCTAAAGGCGTTAACCCACGGTTTTGGTCCAAAAATGGTCTTTTTACCAACTTTTTTTTTTAGGCAATATAGGCCAGGAAAATGTGTTTTACGACATTCTACAACGAAAAAACGCCTTTCTAGCCATGAAAACATCCAGTTCAAAAAGTCCAAAAATTGAGATTTTTCAAAAGGGGAACCCATGGTTTTGGTCCAAAAAAATGGCCATTTTTCCGACTACTTTTTTTAGGCAATATAGGCCAGGAAAATGTGTTTTACGATATTTTAGAACGAAAAAACGCCTTTTTACCCTATAAAAACAACAAGTTCAAAAAGTCGAAAAATTGAGATTCTTCCAAAGGGGTTAAACTATGCTTTTGGTCCAAAAATGACCATGTTTTTAACTATTTTTTTCAAGCAATATAGCCCAGGAAAATGTGTTTTACGATATTCTAGAGCGAAAAAACGCCTTTCAAGGCTATAAAAACAACAAGTTCAAAAAGTCGAAAAATTGAGATTTTTCCAATGGGGTTAACGCATGCTTTTGGTCCAAAAATGGCCATTTTTCCAACTTTTTTTTAAGCATATATACCAGGAAAATGTGATTTACGATATTCTAGAACGAAAAAACGCCTTTCTAGGCTATAAAATCAACAAGTTTTAGAAGTCGAAAAATTGAGATTTTTCCAAAGGGGTTAACCCACGCTTTTGGTCCAAAAATGGCCATTTTTCCAACTTTTTTTTAAAGCAATATAGGTCAGAAAAATGTGCTCTACGATGTTCTAGAACGAAAAAACGCCTCTCTAGGCTATTAAAACAACAAGTTCCAAAAGGTGAAAAATTGAAATTTTTCCAAATGGGTTAACCCGTGGTTTTGGTCCAAAAATGGCCATTTTTCCAACTACTTTTTTTAGGCAATATAGGCCAGGAAAATGTGTTTTACGATATTCTAGAACGAAAAAACGTCTTTTTACGCTATAAAAACAACAAGTTCAAAAAGTCGAAAAATTGAGATTTTTCCAAAGGAGTAACCTATGCTTTTGGTCCAAAAATGACCATTTTTTTAACTATTTTTTTTAGGTAATATAGCCCAGGAAAATGTGTTTTACGATATTCTAGAGCGAAAAAACGCCTTTCAAGGCTATAAAAACAACAAGTTCAAAAAGTCGAAAAATTGAGATTTTTCCAAAGGTGTTAACGTATGCTTTTGGTCCAAAAATGGCCATTTTCCACCTTTTTTTTTTAGGCAATGTAGACCAGGAAAATGTGATTTACGATATTCTAGAACGAAAAAACGCCTTTCTAGGCTATAAAACCATGGTTTAACCCCTTTGGAAAAATCTCACTTATTCGACTTTTTGAAGTTGTTGTTTTTATAGCGTAGAAAGGCGTTTTTTCGTTCTAGAATATCGTAAAAGACATTTTCCTGGCCTATATTGCTTAAAAAAAGCAGTTGGAAAAATGGCCATTTTTGGACCAAAAGCATGCGTTAACCGCTTTGGAAAAATCTCAATTGTTCGACTTTTTGAACTCTTCGTTTTTATAGCCTAGACAGGCGTTTTTCGTTCTAGAATATCGCAAAAGAGATTTTGCTGGCATATTTTGCTTAAAAAAAAAGTTGGAAGAATGGCCATTTTTTCGACCAAAACCATGGGTTAACCCCTTTGGAAAAATCTCAATTGTTCGACTTTTTGAACTCTTCGTTTTTATAGCCTAGACAGGCGTTGTTTCGTTCTAGAATATCGTAAAACACATTTTCCTTGTCTATATTGCCTAAAAAAAAAGTTGGAAAAATTGCCATTTTTGGACCAAAACCGTTGGTTAACCCCTTTCGAAAAATTTCAATTTTTCCACTTTTTAAACATGTTGATTTTATAGCCTAGAAAGGCGTTTTTTCGTTCTAGAATATCGTAAAACACAATTTCCTGGTCTATATTGCCTAAAAAAAAAGTTGGAAAAATGGCCATTTTTGGACCAAAAGCATGGGTTAACCCCTTTTGAAAAATGTCAATTTTTCGACTTTTTCAACTTGTTGTTTTTATAGCCAGAAAGGCGTTTTTTCGCTCTAGAATATCGTAAAACACATTTTCCTGGCCTGTATTGCCTAAAAAAAAAATAGTTGAATAAATGATCATTTTTGGACCAAAACCGTGGGTTAACCCCTTTAGAAAAATCTCTATTTTTCGACTTTTTGAACTTGTTGTTTTTATAGCCTAGAAAGGCGTTTTTTCGTTCTAGAATATCGTAAAACACATTTTCCTGGCCTATATTGCCTAAAAAAAGTAGTTGGAAAAATGGCCATTTTTTCGACCAAAACCATGGGTTAACCCCTTTTGAAAAATCTCAATTTTTGGACTTTTTGAACTTGATGTTTTTATAGCTAGACAGGCGTTTTTTCGTTCTAGAACATCGTAGAACACATTTTTTCTGACCTATATTGCTTAAAAAAACAGTTGGAAAAATGGCCATTTTTGGACCAAAAGCATGGGTAAACCCCTTTGGAAAAATCTCAATTTTTCGACTTTTTAAACTTGTTGATTTTGGTCCAAAAATGGCCATTTTTCCATGGGTTTTTTTTAGGCAGTATAGACGAGGAAAATGTGTTTTACGATATTCTAGAGCGAAAAAACCCCTGTCTAGGCTATAAAAACAACAAGTTCAAAAAGTCGAAAAATTTAGATTTTTCCAAAGGGGTTAACCCATGCTTTTGGTCCAAAAATGGCCATTTTTCCAACTTTTTTTTTTAGGCAATATAGGCCAGGAAAATGTGTTTTACGATATTGTCCAACGAAAAAACGCCTTTCTAGGCTATAAAAACAACAAGTTCAAAAAGTCGAAAAATTGGGTTTTTCCAAAGGGGTTTAGCCCATGGTTTTGGTAAAAAAAATCAAAATTTTTTTCGTGTTTCTTTTTCAGTGAAATAGGCAGAGAAATAATGTTAAACTCTGGCCTAGAGAGAAACAAAGCCGTTTAGAAGAGTAAAAATGTTAATTTTGGAAAGTTCAAAAAATGGGTATTTTCCATAGGGGTTAACCCATGGTTTCGGCCAAAAAGTCCAAAATTTTTTCTAGGTTATTTTTCCTTAAGATTGTTCTAAAAATAATGTTAAGCTATGGTTTAGAAAGAAAAGAAGCTTTTTATGATGATAAAATGTAAACTTTGTAAAGTCCGAAAAAAATGGGTATTTTCCAAAGGAAAAGTATTTTCCGTCAAAAAATCCAAAATTTTTTGTCTTTTTTTAAAAAATAGACTTAGAAATAATTTTAAGCTTTGGTCGAAAGAGAAACAAAATTTTTGCAAGCTTGTTTTTTAGTACAATAAGCCTAGAAATGATGTTAAGCTCTAGTCTGGAAAGAAAAGAAACTTTTCATGATGATAAAAATGTCAGTTTTGTAAAGTCCAAAAAATGGGTATTTTCCAAAGGGTTAACCCATAGTTTCGGTCAAAAAATCCAAAATTTTTTCTAGTTTGTTTTTGAGTAAAATAGTTCTAGAACTAATGTTAAGCTATGATCTAGAAAGAAAAGAAGCTTTTCAAGACGATAAAAATGTATTTTGTAAAGGCCAAAAATTGGGTATTTTTCAAAGAGGTCAAACCATGGTTTCGGTAAAAAAAAAACAAGATTTTTTTCTAGTTTGATTTTGAGTAAAGCAGGCGTTGAAGTAATGTGTAGTGATGTTCTAGCTAGGAAACAAGCTTTTCAGATGTGTTAACATATGATTAACAACTAACATTCATTTTGAACGTGAACATAGATCAGTGACCGATGACTTTTGAATTTGTAAATTTTAATTACAGTGTTTGGTAGAAAAAATTTCTCGCAATAAATGACTATTTCATATCTGAATTATTGTTTGGAAATGGTTGGTACATATCCTGTTGTATATACAAAGGCCTATATATCTATATACTGCTTTTACATCTGATTTGACAAATTTAAAACACAGTGAGCAAAGCGCACTGGTTAAGTTTGGCTTCTGGGTACTAGAATAACTTGAGAATTTTATAGATAAATCCTGCACAAACCTGCAAAAGTGCTGTGCAGTCTTCACACCAAGTCTGCTTAGGTTTCCTGTGGTTAAAATGCTGTAGTTAACGATTCTATGCCTCCTCAACTACTTATGCCACAAATATTGTGGACCTGTTTAATCTTTTATCGAGCGAAGCTTTCCATAACTCTTTAATATGTGTTTTTAAAGGTATTTGAACTGTCCCATCACAGGATTTGAGTTAAGGTGTAAAGTTTTCCAGGCCAGTACTGAGGCTTAAAAGAGAGTTTTCTGAAATGGTTTTAGTGCACATGTCAGAGTTTTGAAGGTGATGCAATCATCCTCGCGGTCTCCTCTTCATTCTCCGTGCAGCTTTTCTACGAAGCCTTTGCGCTCGTAAATGCTTTCACCGGTCACGAAGGCTTCTAAAAAACTCACGCGTGAGATACGTAAAAGTATGGCATAAATGAGTGGCCTGCAAAACACGATTATACAAAATAAACTATCCACAGTCAATTTTTAACTGGCCAGCAGTCAGCGTATCAGGACACACCCATCAAGGGCACGTTAAATGATATTCGAGTGACGTCACTGTCATCGTCATCTTGTATCCCCAGTTCTCCTCTCCTTCCGGTCTTTCGTAGCAAATGAGAGTATCCCTGTGGTTGCTCACGTGATTGGGTGCGGCGGTTGTCCTTAAGGAACTGGTGTCTCAGATGAACATTTTCCACGTGAAAGTTTTCTGGTAGCAATTGTTTTGGTTTTGGGGTCACGTGACGTAAGTAGCCGCGTTTCTCAGCAGGAAGTTTATAGTCTGGTGGGGGGATGTAAGGCTGAAAAAGAATCACAGAATCATAAAAAAGTGTTGAAGTATATTGAGTTTTACTCTTCATCAGTAGAAATATAACACCATGAAACTGGAACTAAGACGGTTAAATTAAGCATTTGTTACTTTCACTATCATACTACGGTGTTGGAAGTAACCAAACCTCTTTATCTTGATGAGTGAACCAATATAAATGACCTTCTTATTTCAGTCAACAGATCAAATGAACCATTACCCCATCCTAACGAAAGTTCAATCATAAGATGAAGACGCTAGTGAAATTGCTACCACTCCATTGTCTTCTGCTTTCAAGGTACTCAGATACTTACCAACTGCGACGAAGGATCTAATTTAGCAGGTATCGTCGCTGTTTCAGGTTTAACTGGCCCGTCATCCTTTTGAGCAGCCAAAGCCAGTCTAACCAGATCAGCCTGATTTTGAGGTTCCTTTTGTTTAGATGGAACTGGTTTTGGAGATAAAATCGTTGCTGCTGGAGGCTTGTGTGGGATTTCCTCTGTTACTATCTTTGGTTTCCACTCGCTGCTGTTTTTCTTTTTTAACACAGGATTTGGTTGTTGTGGTTTTTCTTGATTCTCAAAAAAATTCCTACGAGCAATGAAACATTATTGTATTAATAGATCTTCAGTGCAGTTTTATGACCATTAATTTATACAGATCTTTGTTTTTTTTTTTTTACCTGGCCTTTGCTACTGAAGGTGTTGCTTTTTCCTCGCCTCCTTCAGAATTTCTCACTTCATCTGTGTTCCCTTCAACAATAGATAACATTTCTCGAATACGGCGTTCTTGATCTAAAAAAGGCAATGCAGCAACAAAAGATTTCTTTAGTGAAAAAAAATCAGTGGTCATCGATTCATCGATGGGCTTTTCCATATATTTAACAATTATGAAATCAACTGGTGTCTCAATGACATGTGTTGGTAAAGAGGTCGAGTCCTACAGGTTACCATCCAAGTAGTTTTGGACAACTTTCTTGAGATGTAGCGTTGAAAAGCAAGAACACGTCGGTTTTCAAACAAGAAAGGTTTGACAACGGAAAAGTTTTTTTTGGTCTTTTTTCGGAGGTTTTAAATATATCAAACCGTATAAAACTGAAAAGGTGTCCGTTTAAAATGCTGACTGAGAGACTACTTATCTGAAGTTATATTTCAGGTAATTAGATTCTAATATCAACACTTTACCTTTCGATTCTTTTTTCAGTCTGTCAGCGTCCTACAAATGTAAACAACAGTGTCAGAATATGTTAAAATGTTCAGAGTTGTACTGTTTTTACTGTTACTGTTATTACTGTGTAGGAGTGATGCGTGACATGGGAAGATACATTGAGGAATATGGGAAGAGCGTTGCGTGACGCGCCATATACTGGCTGATGCGAAAGACCATCCTTTTGTTGCGGAGAATTCTTTATGTTCTTAGCAAAATGAGGATAAAACTTACTGTGAAATGTTTTAAGTACGTTTCGTCGCCCGCAGACCAGATTTCCTTCCTGTGAAATAAAATTATAGATCAGTGTTAAAAGAGAGCCAAACAATAAAACACTACATCGACCATTCAGAGCTCCTAACCAGATTCCGGACAAATTTTACGTCACCTATAAGGAATTTCTGTCGCTGAGGCGCAGACATCCCTCCTGACGAAATGTCCCAAATGGCGAGGAGCGAAGACAGATGGCTGTTTTGCAAGCTAATACAGGCTATGGTGATATTCTTTTTTTCAGAAAGGAGGACAGGATATATGACAACTGCCCCTGACCTCGGATTCAAGTCGTTATAATTTACATCAATGATTGGAACCCGCGCAAACATGAAAAGCAGATCTGAAGAGACCTTGTTTTAAGGACAAGAAAAAAGGCAAGGAAAGTGAGAGAAAAAAATATTATATCTACAGACCTGTAGCTGCGGTCTTTGCGAGGTGAAACTCTACTGTGTATCTCAGCTAAAACAATCTCTCCTAAAGAAGGGTAACAATGTGTTAGCGAGCGAGACACCCCGGTGTCTGACATTTAAACAAAAAACCTTGGCAGTACTTTTGTATGGCAACATTTATTTTTCAATATCTTACAAAATTAAATTGGGGATTCTTGAAAACTGATGGGGCACACTTTTGAGAGAAAAGACTTAAAAGATGGAGGGCAGGGACGGGAAGAGACGGGACGGGACTTGAGAGTTTAGGGGCCGTGCTGAGCTCGTATGTGAATATCTCCAGATATTACGTTTATTCAGTTCAAGAAATCGTCCATGTTTCGAGATCGTGTGATCGCAGGTTTCGTGCACTTCGCGTTAGTATTCTCAGTGATATTCTGTATATTAGCCTCAAATGCAAGCTAGTGTTAGTTCACAATCGATCACCCGAACTTGGTTTTTTACGTTACTACCCGTTGTTTCTACAGGGTGAACCCCCTAGGTCAACCTCATTCATAGCGTGCCCCCTTCCCGACCCCTAAAAATGAAAATCTTTCCTCTACGGAGCAAAAATCTTCCCTCCAACAGAAAATCGCAGGTAGTAAAGATACTAGAGAACTATAGCAAAGCGTTTCTGAGCAACGCACGTCAACCGGAAGTGAGCTCATTTTAAAAAACCTTGAGGCTACCTAATTTGTATTGGTAGCGTCAAGGTTTTGTATTGCTTACAGTCTTCACTCTGATATAGAGACGATTTGCCCAACAATTTGGGCAAAACCACCACCCAAAAATGAAAAAATCCACTTCCGGTTGACATGCGTCGCTCAAAAACGCCTTTGCTTGAGCTCATTATTAACTTACTAGGACGAACTTCAAAGCTGCTCACAGCAGCAGGAACTTCATTAGCACCTTGTGTTTCCTTTTGTGGTTGTCCTTCTTGAGGGGAAGTAGGAAGTACTTGTACTCTAGTTGATGAATTCTGTGATAAAAAGAAGGGCAGGTTACAAGAATACAGTGAAAAAGCGTTGCACCTCTTTAGCTAAAACCTTGTTTGAAAACCGACCTAACTCGGCTCCATTCTACCCATGTGTGTATTGTCAGTTGGCAGTAATAAACACTCGTTTTCTCATTGATGGCTATGAATTGCTGAAAGTCTGTATGTCATTGAATTTATGACCTTGTATTTGCTTACCGTTATAAACACTGACAACGTCAACATCGAGAAAGAAACAGTGTCAGGAAGATGAAGGAACTTAAAATTTGGTCATTTTTATAATATCAAGAATCAAAAGTGCATCCCTTACCTGAGTTTGTTCATCAGACGTCTGATACTGATGTGATTTGGTGTTTTCTAACAACTCATGCCATGACGAGTTCACCTAAGAACAACAAAACCATGGTCAACCAATATAAGCCAAATACTGAGAATTATTGAGCGCATGAACATCATCCTTAACAGAAATGTACCAACCTCCCTGAGACAAACATGTTTTAATCTAACGCAGATGGGTGTGACCGCAAACTGTAAAGCATTTAGGATTTCTTGAGAACTCATTTAAACGTGTCCGTGTGTACCAGATCGAATTTGAAAGTAACAATATTGGAGTTGTGGGGAGTGGGAAATCGGAGTACCCAGAATACACGCCAGGATTTGAACCCGGGCCACATTGGTGAGAGATGAGTGCTGTCATCACTACGCCATCCTTGCTACCCTCGACGCATAGTCCTCGTTGATCATGTTGATGACAAGTTTAAATGATAAACAATAGATATACATTACAGGGTTGTCAAATGGACCCGCAACCGGCGCTATCACCGGCTACTTTAAGGCTTTTTGCCCCCCGCAAATTCTTGGAAAGAAGCCCAAAAAATGGACCATTAAAACAGTTATACCAAAAAAAAAAAAAGAAATTGTTTTAATCATGATCTATATATTCTTTTTTGCGCAGCACCTTATCTCCCTGGGAAACACATATTCCTAGTGGTATGTGTTCCCCTACCTGGGAAACATATAGCCTCAGTGATACGTGTTCCCCCACCTGGTAAACACATATCCCTAGTGATATGTGTTCCCCCACCTGGGAAACCAAATCCCAGTGATATGTGTTCCCCTACCTGGGAAACACATATCCCTAGTGATATGTGTTCCCCCACCTGGGAAACACATATCCCTAGTGATGTGTGTTCCCCTACCTGGGAAACACATATCCCTAGTGATATGTGTTCCCCTACCTGGGAAACACATATCCCTAGTGATATGTGTTCCCCTACCTGGGAAACACATATCCCTAGTGATGTGTGTTCCCCTACCTGGGAAACACATATTCCTAGTGATATGTGTTGCCCTACCTGGGAAACACATATCCCTAGTGATATGTGTTCCCCTACCTGGGAAACACATATCCCTAGTGATGTGTGTTCCCCTACCTGGGAAATACATATCCCTAGTAATATGTGTTCCCCCACCTGGGAAACACACATCCCTAGTGATATGTGTTCCCCCACCTGGGAAAGACATATCCCAAGTGATATGTGTTCCCCTACCAGGGAAACACATATCCCGAGTGATATGTATTCCCCTACCTGGGAAACACACATCCCTAGTAATATGTGTTCCCCCACCTGGGAAACACGTATCCCTAGTGACATGTGTTCCCCCACCGGGGAAACATGTATCCCTAGTGATATGTGTTCCCCCATCGAAGAAACATGTATCCCTAGTGATATGTGTTCTCCCACCTGGGAAACACGTATCCCTAGTGATATGTGTTCCCCCACCTGCGAAACACCTATCCCTAGTGATATGTGTTCCCCCACCTGGGAAACACGTATCCCTAGTGACATGTGTTCCCCCACCTGGGAAACACATATCCCTAGTGATATGTGTTCCCCCACGTGGGAAACACATATCCCTAGTGATGTGTGATCCCCTACCTGGGAAACACACATCCCTAGTGATATGTGTTCCCCAACCTGGGAAACACATATCCCTAGTGATGTGTGTTCCCCTACCTGGGAAACACATATCCCTAGTGATATGTGTTTCCCCTCCTGGGAAATACGTATCCCTATTGATATGTGTTCCCCCATCTGGGAAACACATATCCCTAGTGATATGTGTTCCCCACCTGGGAAACACATATCCCTAGTGATACGTGTTCCCCCACCTGGGAAACACGTATCCCTAGTGATATGTGTTCCCCTACCTGGGAAAAACATATCCCTAGTGATATGTGTTCCCCTACCTGGGAAACACATATCCCTAGTGATATGTGTTCCCCCACCTAGGAAACACATATCCCTAGTGATATGTGTTTCCCCACCCGGGAAACACATATCCCTAGTGATATGTGTTCCCCCATCTGGGAAACACATATCCCTAGTGATATGTGTACCCCTACCTGGTAAACTTGTATCCCTGGTGATGTGTTCCCTCACCTGGGAAACATGTATCCCTAGTGGTATGTGTTCCCTACCTGGGAAACACATATCCCTAGTGATACATTTTCCCGCATTGGTGATCGAGCCATTTGTTTTGTGATTTGCATTTAATTTTGCTGCTTCTCGCTTTCAATCCGTCTTCTTTGCATGCTTCCACCAAAGTTTCACTTACTTATTCAGACACAGTATCGATGCTATCATGTTTGACAGCTGCTACTAACCTGGATTGAACTGTTTATATCAATAGTGATATGTCTTCCCCTACCGGCCCTGCCGGGAAACACATGCCGGCTACCTTCTCTTATTCTCCTGCTACTTAAAATCTTTTTGACAACCCTGCATTAACTTCGCTTCTAACCTCTCTAATAGGGCAGACATTTTAATTGGGTCCTCATGGGTGGAGGGGATTGGGGTGGGGGGCTGGAGGTAGGGTTAGGGGTAGTTGTGGAGGGGACGGGGTTGGTGCTGCCCACCTGTTGAATAAAGTAAATCATTTGTGTTTCTTGTTGTGAAGCAAGGGCTTCCTCTTCTTGTCTTGTTAAGATTTTTTGTTTGGCTGCTGGCCAGAAGTCTTCCCGTTCGTACCGTCTCCCTTCTACAAAAGAGAAAACATAACTTAGAATGAACTTTAAGAGAAAAGGCAGCTTTTAATCCTGAAGAAGAAACGAAAATACAAAGTACACAAACCTCTGATAACGATACGATTCATTTTGAGATCCACCTGGAAAATGTAAAGAGATAGAATAGTGACGGTTAGAAATCAAAACTCTTGAAATACTATTCCATAATAAGAGTTATGTACCTTAAAGGCCCCTGCAAACGGATGCAACATTGTTGGCCAACAACTCTAAACATGTTGCGTCCGTTTGCACACCCTGTTGCATGTTGTTGGGAGTTTTTGGAACATAACCGCAAAAACTCTTTACTTTTTCCACGAAGATAAAACAAAACTACACAGCTACATCAATAAAAACAACTCGTACACTTTTGTGTCCCTTTTGTGCCCTCAGCATTGAATCTGACGAATCCTGGACCTGCAAACAAAAAAAAGAATATTAAAACCTTTCGTCATTCGTGAAAAATGACAAAACAACAACAACAATAAACTTTATTAATGATCAGATAATACAACAGAAGCAGTGCCCGCAGCTGGCAAGGCTATTCGAGGCGAGACAGTGAAATTAATAAGATAGGTCGAGAATAACAATAACAAATAATAATAATAATGATTTTTAAGATAGAATAATAACTAAAAAGATAGGTGGAGAAACGTTTCTTGCCTGCTGTAAAAAGTAAATCATTTTTGTTTCCATTTTCTCTGCCTTTAGCTTCAGCTTTGCAACATCCTGGCGTTCTTTGTAACCGCGATAAGCTGTAAAATTTTACAGGAACAAATATGATTTGTAAATAACACATTCTGAGCTAATTTCAGTGCTCAGTCATAGATACAGCATTTGGGGACACAGATGCGGATTTAGGAAAGATGGGTGACAGTTATAAAACACAGTGACAATGAAAATAGTGACATGTCCATAAACTCTCTGACTGACTCACAGTTAATGGAAGTTTATGAGGTTAAATTACTTGCCCGTCTGAAAGATCAGATCATATGTCTAAGAAAAAGCTAAATTAAACGATTGACTGACAGACAGACAGACTGACTGACTGACCAACTGACAGCCAAGCTAAATGACGATTGGCTAACTGGTCAACTTATTAATTACCACTATGGAGTCATAAAAAGTTAATTCTCTTACCAGACTGAATCGTAAGGGCTGCTCCTTCTTTGGCTTCTGTTAAGAACCAAACAAATCCAACAACTCAAAAAATAACCGAGGAATTGAGAGAAAGCAACTACGTCAAAAAAATGATGCCCAAAAAATCACGTGACATTAACTTTTACTTCCTGAGCTTCTTTATATCTTACTTTTTCTCTCGACTGACATTTTCTGTTCCCTTTTGATGGCAGACAAATTTCGTCTGACGTTGTGTCCACGATAAGCTAAAAAATAAACAAAACATGACTTTAAGGAGCACGTCTGACTGAACAGATTCCCTTGTACAATGGTAGAACAATGTAACCGTAACAAAACAACAAACTAACAAAAATAAACGGAAAGTTATTTTCTATCTCTCACAGGATAAAATTACCTAAACAAGTTCGTGTTCTCATGTAAGTGACAGAAAATCTTTAACTTCAAACAAATTATTTCAGCCTGCTGCTACCTTGTTTTCTATCAACTCTGCTTTCTCTCACAGCGACACCTTATGAATGTAAATATAAAACTGCGAGGTATCTAGATTATTCTGTTGTGACAAGGTTTATTAGCTTCCGCTATGCTCAAAGCCTTTCGGGAGTTACAGCTCATTTTAGACTTAGTAAAGTTCTTGTTTCCGTAGCATTGTCCCGTCACTGCATTGCAGAAAGGTTTTCGCTCACTGTTTGGATAGTGAAAGTCTGATATAGTATGTGAGAGAATGACTGGCTGTTTTGCCCTTGGTTCAGCCTCAATGCACTTGCCACTACGAATAATCGTTGACCAAAGGAGTAACATATACCAAGAAATTTTCTCATCAGTATCGTATTTTCTTGCAACTGTATGCACTTCGTAATGAAAAATACCCACTTCGTGTACTGAGTAGATCAGCAGATCCAGTTAGCCCTCTCGACATGCGAGACTCATTTGGAAGGGACGTGTTTCACGGACGAATTAACAAAAACAGTCTTTTCTTTTTAACTCTCAAAACTAGCAGCATAAAAGAAAAAGACAAAGAGGTACCATGTAGATCTGCCGTTGGCCTTTCTCGCAGTTTTAAAGTTTCCACCAGATATAAATCGTCGATTATATTGTTCAAAACAAGCGAGTTTCGGATCACAAACTTGAGTCCGTAAAAAAGTCTTACGGTGTTTTCCTCCGATGATAAAATTTCTAGAAAACTCTATATAAACAAAAAACTAAGGTAGTAAGAGGTAGAAAACCTTATGTACTATGAGCAACATGAATGTTTCGTGCAACCTTGCCTAGCGGCAGAATGACGTCTGCTAGAATTTCATCTTTTTCGTTTTGACATTTAAACCACAACTTGTATATCACTGTATCTTAAGATACAACCTTTTCGCGTGGCTATTCACTGTAAACTTCCTAAATGATCATTTTGATCTGCTACTGTTTGGTTCAAGATACCTCTGAAAATTCAGTCTGGTTCGCGTTTTTTTTTGGTTTTTTGATTGATTTTTTGTTTTGACTGACAAAAACCGCTTGTGATATATTCTTTCTGACCTATTCCCTTGCAAACAGCCACATTCATCTGTAATAACGTAATATGCGTTTACCTGCTTGAATGATTGCAGCACTCTTGTTCCTAAGATGACGCTGGCGTAAGTAATGTTTCCTTGCAAGGTATCCACGCACCACTGCAACACAGACAGTCACCCACTGAGTCACCAGCAAATCAAATATACAATAGATGTTTTCTTACTTAAACCTCAATGCACTGCATCTTAAATGATGATCGCGGAACTTCCACTTCTGGCCGATTATAGAGTTGCATAAATTACACGAGCCAATGAAAATACGAATAAAAATACGAAGAAATACCCTGGGCAACCAATTATTTAAAATGTTCCACTCAATTACGCGATAGAGCCGAATAAATTAAACGAAAGACTGCCATTTTTTAAGAAAGGAAAAAAAAAACTAAGAAACAAAAGGAAAAAGAACGAAAGTTCTTACCAGCCTGTATTTTGATAACACTCCTCGACTTTCTTTTCTGCTGAATGTGGTACCATTTCACCCACCACATGTACTTTCTTCGTTGAACAAGTCGGCGGTAAGCTGCAAAACATAAAACTGGCTCAAACTAAAAATATGGTAACAGAGCCCTGTAAATTAGGACGCATTTTTTTGTACCTTCTTGTAGCACATGATAAAACTAAAATGCTGAAAAGAAACTGGAGTGGAGACTGGGGACTAATTCCCCGAGTGATGTCATCGACACTGACGATATGTGACGTCAAAGCACGACATGTTACTATCAGGACTAAATGTAAGGTATATTTGAATTCAGATGAACCTGAGATGGCTCGGCCATGTGAAGAGGATGGACTTTGTCAGGCTTAATTCCCAGGCAGCTGTTGTATTCCCAGTTACGCGATGGAAAGAGAAATCATGGAAGGCCTAGGCTAAGATTCAAGGACATCGTGAAAAGAATCCTGAAGCGGAAGAACATTTTCAGTTACTAGATTCTTGGAGGCAGCGAGAACGTCCTGGAGGAATCCAATTAAAACTTGAACTCTTCATGGAGCAGTCATTGTCTCTTCAACAGACTGCTTAACTTAACTAACCATTCTTTAAAAAAATATTTTCCACTTCGTAGAAAAGATAAAAGTTACTGGGGATTTGACTCGAGGTTGGTTTCTCCGCAAGCGCTTAGCACCAACTTCATTCATGCTTTAACTCATTTGCCAGGTTGATTGTCCAAACTTTTCACTATCGCTTACCTCTTTGAATAACCAAGGCGGCTGATGTTCTCTCTTTCAATTCCAGCAGATACTGTTTTCGGGCGAGGTAACCGCGGGCGTCTGCAAAAAAACAACGCCACAACATGTTTTATTGCTGACAAACGTTCACACTCTGCCTGGGAATTTCATCCTGCATTCAAAATGCTACCACATGTACTTCGTCCATATTCTTATTACTGAGCAGTACAAAAATGAGATATTCATTTTAACTCCACCTGTGAGTGAAATCCTAAAGTTACACCAATAAATCGGAAAACAGAAAACGCATTTTGCTCATCACCTTCCGGGACAACTTTGACGACAAAATTAAGTGAAAATTAGCTGCCCTAGGCCTCTTAGAGGAGGCGTGCAAAACGAACTTTCCTCCGTTTATAGTTTGAGTGGTTAGAAATGTTCACCGGAAAAATTACACTTACATTTCTGAATAACAGTAGAAGCATGACGTCTCTTCATCTTTAATTTTTCAAACCTTCTTCGTACTATCCAGGCTCTGATGACTAAAGAAAAACAAATCTTTCGTTAGACTGCACATAGAGTAAAACTAGCAGGTGATTGTGTGTATGATATTCATTTTTATTAGTTCTTTATAAAGGGGAAACAGACGGCAGTTGTCCGAACTTTTAGTGGTGACCAGACTAGGTTTACAAAAGTATACTTGTTGATGCAAAGTTCTCATGTACAAGCTAGGGAAAGAAAATCTAAGATCTGTCAATACCTCTTATCTGCTTGAAGTTGAAGGCAATATGCACCGCCACTTCTTTTGCTATCCCTTGGATCAAGTACACTAATGTGATCACTGATGTGGTGACGTAATTAGGCTATGTTCATACTTACCTGCACATCTGCACAAACTGGTCTAATATGTAACTATGGATACATAAATGATATGTTCACATTATTGCCTGGTGAGCATCCTACTCTTGAAGCGTGGGGAATTGAGTGTTGAAGCTAAATTAATTGATCAAACGGTTTATAACACATACCTTTCTGTAGAATGATGATCTTCCTTCGATACATTTCAAGACGATGAGCGAGTTCTTCTACGTGATAATACTTGAGAAAAACCTTGGTTCTTCCTATGAGCCAGTTTTTTAGCTTGCAGTGTTTTAAAATTACACGACAAGACGTAGCATCACTGGGGATTTTCTTGTAAAGAGGGTATAAAAGCACTTGGTATCTGCGAGAAATAAAAATAAAAAACGATTAAGACATGTGTGACTTTGTCCATTGAGGGTGCAGGGATAGGCCAGTTCAGAGTTGTCTCAAGCCTCTGTTTCAAAGCGAGGCTAAGTGCGCAGCCATAGATATAAAAATGATTGTTTATTCTCATGCAGATAAAACTCATTTCCACTAGAAAAGGTTTGCTCTTAGCCTCGTTTTAAAGGTGAGAGTTTGAGGTGAGAGAGAAATGGCCAATTTAGTTTGCCATAATGATATCAGAAACATACAATAGCCTGTTTCAAGCGTTTAGATTGTAGGGACAGCACGCGCAAGGAGTCAGACTTCGCGCCACACTTCTATATCTCTTACATGAAGCTGAACGCTTGGAACAGGTTAACATGATAAGAATTAGCTACCGCGTATCCTCAGTTAGTGGTTCATTGAAACTTTCCCCACCTCCCCCCTTACATTAGGAAATAAACAAACCTTTTAACAAACTCCGCAAACGTAATTCTCTCCGAGTATCCCTGAAAACAAGTTAAAAAGATAACAATATTTAGTTGAAGCAAGTTCAAAATCACTACGTAAATCTTGCGACTGACCAGCGGATGAAGCTCATGAAGGTCATCGCGTGTTAGAGAAGGCCTGCAGGTTGTACTAGTTAGCAACTACCAACCATGGTCCAGCCGGGGTCAATAGGCACTCTATACTGCATGCGTGTTATGAGAAACAAGCCGACATTTTGCGACACCACCACTGGTTTCTCCGCGAAATGACGTCTGAGCAACCAGCGCAGAAATTCCATACCGATGGCTTGTCACTACCCAGATCTGGGTAGTACTATGATCGGTTGCGCAGCGAGAGGAATTTTGCTTCAACCAAAAGGAAGCACTACCCAGATCTGGGTAGTGACGCGTCATTAGTATGGAATTTCTGCAGCTGTTTCTCAGACGTCATTTCTCAGGGAAACCAGTGGTAGCGTCGCGAAATGTCGGCTGTTTTCTAAGGCTAAAAACTCACGCTAAGTTGTGATGTATTTCACTGACCTGCCTACGGATTCTTGTCGTTTCCAGCACTCCTGTATATTTAAGCTGAGTCTGAACTTTTTCCTGGTCAAATTTACCAGGAATCATCTGCTCATTTGGTCGAATGCACCTTTAAAAAATAATTCGATTTTAAATGTGTCAAGGAGGTACACTGAGCGATCACACTTTTACAGCAGGGATTCACACAACTTACCTCACAAAATGAGATTCTGTCGGGAGTAACTTAGCCAAAAGATCTCGTAAAGAACACTACAGACAGCAAAGGAAAAAAAAACAGTTAAAAGAGGAACGAAGACCTTTCAGAGAGAACCTTAAATCTTACACCAGTTCCTATAAGCTCACATCTTTTCTTAAAACGTCCTCTCTTTAACAACTTGTTTAGCCTCAAACAGCTTTCTCGCTCAAACGCAGCACGCGTGGGTTCATGGGAATGATGCAGTACACCCTTCCATGATATCACCCGCGCTCTCTACTTTCTGACAGAAAGTACTAAGCGCCTAGGAAAGAAGCAGCTGATAAGTAATTGGTTTCATTTCTGCGAGCTTATGCAAGACAACCTTACATTCATTATGGCGACTGTCATACTTACCCTGAAGTGAACAGAAACGGTTTGCTGCCATCTGGAGGTTGAGGCAGAGGAGAAGGGAAGCTTGGTCTCTGGCAAACTCAACAGGCCATTGATTTTCTACAGGAGAAAAAGAAGTACTGTGCTGTCTTCAGTTGTTTATGGTAAAAACACAACATAAGATGCTCAGTGGTAAAAACTGTACGACCGCTATATCAGTTATGGGTGGAAGCAATGGTACGTTCTCACACCACTTTCTAGCCAGTCAGAATAAAGCCAATACCAGTGATGACGTGTTCGTAAGAGTAGTACTAAAATGCAAGTTTTACCATCCAATGATGACTGAATCGTTAACTACTGTAGAACAAATAACACGCATAACTCTAATGAACTGTCCTCTGTACCTTGTCCTTATCGATATTCGTCGCTGGAGGCTGAGAACTGTTCTTCTTCGTTGTCACCCCTGTACAGCAAACACATCACGATTAAATGCTACTTTAAATAAAGCTTCAACCATCAGCGATGACGTCATCATGGGGGATAGCAACATTTCTGAGAATACTTACAACAGTCAAAATTTTTAACAGTCCCCATCCCTAAACTCATCTTTCGAGTCATTAAAAATGAAAAACATACAGAAGATTTCATAAATGAACAGCAAAAATCAGTTTTAACGACTTTAAGCAAAATGACGGTTTTACCAAGAATAAGACATTTTTGATGTGAAATCTCCGCGATACATAGTTACTGAAGGCAGTGGTTAAAATTCAAGCGTGATGTCACATCCGAACACGCCAAGAACGGCGGAGAAGGAGGCAAGTTAAAACTAGTTTTAGCCTCCGTTATTTTAGTTTTGCATACAAGACAATAAATGACTGATAATCCGAGTGAGTAGCTGACAATCTGATTTATGTTTGCTACAAAGGCGAGGGTAACGTGCTCATTTAATCCTTACAACAGGAAAACAAGGCAAACTAGAAGAAGTGTTGTTAGTTCCACTCCAGATTTTCAACCAAGAACTCTGCTTATTGCTACTTTTCTGCTTCCATGCCGTCTTACCAAGACTCTTCCTCTTCCTAAGCACACCCCTAAGCCAGCTCTCCTTAGCTTTGTAGTCTGTTACGGCTTTGGTGGCTTCTGGGAAGGGCTTGTTCACCCTCCACCAATTGGGATTCACTGTATGAGTGACATCATCATTTACGTGATGAGTAAGATCTGAGCCATAGGGTGACAGAGAGAGAACACAATAACAGACTAAAGAAACAACTAGAACACAGATAAAAGAGTAGTGAAGAATAGTGAAGTACAGCTTACTGCACAAGAACTCTGTTCAGAACGTTGAGGAAACAGCAAAAGGGAAATGCCAAGAAAAGGAGCCCAAGTGTCCCATGGGACTGAATCAGGGGAGCACATTTAGGAGTGTCACGTGAGAAAAGGCTCAGAAGATTAGCAAGCCTTTTAAGCAATGGGTCATTTCCGAGTTCCAAAAAGAGGTTAAGAGGAAAAACCTTTCTTGTGAAAATGAGTTTTATTTGCATGAAAACAAAAATTCATTTTCGTATCAATAGCTCTGCACATAACTTTGCTTTGAAACAGAGGCTTGAGGATATTGGAAATGGGTTATTGGAGTTTGACTCGGCATTGTACCAACATACCAGAGTCAAGCGTGAAAGAAAACTTTGCAAACGTTTGCACTTTACATAACAACTGACCTGTTCTGGACAATGGATGCTGCATCAGAGTTCTTACAAGACGATTATCTGTTGACAAAAGCATAAACTATGAATGTACAGTTGTTTTTAAACGTGCAACGCGTTTGAGCCACCCGTGTAAGCAGGCTGCTGTCGAGGCCCCCCACACACAGGCTAACTGCTACCACATTAAATACAATATGGATGAAAGGCAAAATACCCCTTAAGAAATAGTGAATCTGATTCTGTTAACTAGGGCGTTACGATTTATGCTGCTGACCCCTCATCAATCTGATTGTTTAAATCTGACAAGGTACTTCATGGTACTTAAGTCAATGAAGCTATTGAAGTGAAAAGATACCAACCAGCGCTGCTGTTAGTGCTATTAAGTACTTTAGATACCTAAGTTTTGTCCTTACCACTAGATCGAAGTACATGTATGATGTCGGTGGACAGAGTGTCGCGGTT